TGTTACATTGGGTAGTAAGAGAAATGATGTATTTTCTTTTGCCATAATTATAAGTGTGGATTGCTTGTTAATACTCAAAAGGTTTTCAGTCATCCTGCCCAGTATCAACCTAGATAACTGATGTACGTGAAAAAAGAGGTTGTGGTTATGAATTTTTTGCTAGTTTGTTATGTAGGCCAAAATTCTGATTTTGGATTTGCTTTTGTTTGTAAAGTTTTACAATAATTTTTTTCTCTACCTGATTCAGAGCCTAAACTATAAAATGTAACCATGCTGTAGATGTTTCATCTTAACTGGCATCAAAATGCTTAAACTTTCAGAAATTGTGATAATGCTCAAGGACAAAAATAGATAAGTATCTGACTATCTGAGATTGCATGCATAAACTGACTGTAGTTTTATTTTTTGGTGATTTTCAAGTGCAAAAACTGAGTTTGCAAAAGTTATAGTTTGCCTCTTATTTTGAGTTTTTGTGAAAGTTGTATTGAATTTCATGCTGAGCTTTATATTATAAACAACTTGCATTTCAGCTGGCTCAGAAAAAAATCTTAAGTTATTTTTGCTGATTGAAAATAAGTTGTCATGTATATAGTAGCTAAATTTGTTAAGCAAAAGTTCTGTTTTTTACTCTTTATAACAGTGTTTTATTGTAATTATCACACACATTGTAAAATATAAAAAAGCAGAGTTTCTATTTAGATAAATAATTCCTGAACTATATAGAATTTACTGTAATAATTGTTTGAAATTTACTTAAAATATTGCCAGTTGAGTGGAAGTTACTTGCATTGAACTAGTAGGTGACGATGCTATACCTTAAATTAGTGTACACATTTTGTACTGTACCAGTGAATCTGGTTAAGGTATGTTTCCATCACCAACATTTTATGTATTTTGGGAAACAGATTTAGCAAAATAAACTACACTTTTGCTTTAGTATGAAATTATTGTTATTAACTGCTGTAGCTATGGAATTGTAGTCTCTCATCCTAAATAAAACTTGTAAGATTGTATTTTATTGAAAACAGATGGGTATAAAAATATTAGTATATATAAAACCTTAGTATAAGGTTTAACACTGATGTAAAAAGTTAAGTGCTTTAATGGTTTTGAAACATTTTTGTAGACATCAATTTTCACTGTAACATCTATATATTAGTGTTTATAACTAAATGATCTAGGTTTGGTGTATTTATTACAATAATGATATTAAATGGATATTATATTCGTGTTTGAACAGATAATTTGTTGTAAGGTTCCTGTAAATTATTTTTATGTGATTAGAAAGATGTAAATCATAATCATAGGGTTGGCTTCCATAGTATGAATGTGTTAGAAAAAGTACTGGAAGTGTTTCAGTTTTTGTAAACAGTCATATGATTGTGATATACACAATAGTATGAATGTGTAACTGATAAATTGGTGATCAAACGAGTACTGTGTAGCTGTGCTATTGAAAGAAGAATATAAGGATTTATGATGGTGTTTTCTTTTATCTCAATTTTCAAACAGGTTGTAAGTTAATAATACTTTTAAAAGATATATCTATGATTAAAACATTTGGAAGAGAATGTTTTCCAGTTGTTGTTTTGTCAATATGTATATTATTTTATTAGATAGTGATACATTTTGTAGTCCTTTATGTTTGACAAGCGCCATCACGTTGATGCTCAAAAGTGCTCGGAAAATTAGTTTTGCAAGGGCTTGTTAGAGCTTCTTTTATTCTTACCAAGAAATAAATACTTTTGAATTCAGATCTTGTTATTATTTGTCATGTCATTAGCCACACAATTAGCTGTTGTTTATATGCACAGATAAGCTCATAGATAACTTTGTGTGTCCCTGTTGGCTACTATGATTGATACTTTAATCTTAATTGGCCTAGATTAGTGATGTTACATGTGCAGTAATATGACATTTTTGAACTGTTGTTATATAAAAATATTTGTAACTGAGAAACTAAGTCCACGTTTTAAAGTTT